TATATTCAGGGTGTCCACTAGCCCAGAATGCCTTTTGGTGAAATAAAAAAAATGAAAAAAAAAAAGAAGCTGTTGCACAGGTGCAAGGCTTACGGAGCAAGCAGACTGCACCTTTGTGAAAAATCAAGGAAGGCGCTCCTTCCTCTAAATAGAAGCAGCACGACAAAAGATACCATTGTCTGCTGAGGGGAGCCTGGTCTGGGTTTCAGCCAGCTGGTACCCTCTTCTGGGTACCTCTCTAGTGTGAGCAAACTATACAATCTTATCCAGCCATTCTCTTTAAGGTCCAGCAATTCGGATTACTCAGTATTCTTCTAGTTTTTCTTATCCTCCCTCTTTATTTGTATCTTGAGTTTTGTGAAGCTTTTGCTGACTCCACATCCTGATACCCACACCCAGACAGAATTAATCATTATCTCTTCCATGCTACCCTGTGCCTTTATGTTTGTTATTACTACATTTATTATATTATATTAGATGTATGTTTACACAACTGTCTTCCCTACCAGACTGTGAGATTATTAATGGCAAGTTTTATGTTTTAATTCACACTTATAAATCTCGTGATTAGTGCTATCCATAAAAGATAGACTACTTTTTAAAAAAAATTATTGTTTATTGAATGAATGAATGAACGAAACCATGCATGAATGATTGCATAGATAGACAAATGTATAGGGATAAATAAATAAATAGTTAAATAAAATGCTTTTATAATTACCTAAAATAACCTTTTTCAATCTTCATCTGTTAAAATCCTATACTTTGTCTTTTTATTCACATCTCATATTTTATAATCTTCCTCTGACACCGTTTTAACAATCCAAAGAAAATGATTGCTAATAACACACAACGCAAACTACAAATATTTACAGCTCAGACTCTATTAAAAGCTTCCCATAAATTCTCTTACATAATCATTCCTGCAATTCAATATGGCAGCTACTCAAAATATTATTCTTATATTAATAAATGGTCTATTTACCCATGAGAAGGCTGTGTCCTGGAATGATAAGTTACTTGTCCAAGTTCACACAGTTTGAAAGTGTTGGAACTAGGTTTGAAACCAGGTCTGTTTAATTCAGAGCCCAAATTTCTAACCACTATATTATATCTCTTCTCATTTATTCACATTGCTACTCACTGAAATTCAAGTGTTTGGCCCAACAGCTGTTACTCAATAAGTTGTAATTGATCAAATCAACTAATGAAATTTAAATGAAGCTCTCTCAGACAACTATGGGAATTACTGAAATCCCAACATGGATATCTTTAAATAATCACATTTATCTGAAAAAGTATATCACAAAATAATTCTAAATAGCCAACTGCAATGATTGTATGCATGAATTATTACTATAATGTGCGTATTAAATCATTTTTAAAGTACAATATCTGGTGTTATATGCTTTTCCTCAAACTAATATAAACCATAAGGCAAGGTGTTATAAACCTTCATTCATGAATATACTTCGATCATTATAAAAATTTTTCTCAATGAATGCTATATTCATAAGAAAACACTGTTCATTTACCATATAATAAACTTTTATAACAAACCTGTTAGTTTTCTTAAATCCTCTTTAAATTCCTTTAAAATAAAATTATCTCACTCCACGTAATTTTTCTGTTTATCACACGAATACACTCCTTATTTTGAGGGTATAACAATAAACAAGCATGGTCACCGGCTTACACAGAGCGAGACCAGTAAACAAGCTCCAGTAAGGGAAATTTAGGGGGCTACAGAACACGCCAGGAGGAACATGTTCCTGGGAGAGGAGAAGGAAGCAAAACCTGAAGGGCAAGTAAGATGTAGACAGGTGAAATGGGTGCAGGAGGGGAAAGGCCCAGGTTAAACAAAAATCTGGGTATGCTGTGAAACTCAAATTGGCATCATAAGCTAAGGAACTCGGGCTTTATCTTGAGTGCCAAGAGGAGCCCCTGGAGGGTTTTTAAATAAGGAAATTAGGATCAAACTTGAATTCTAGAAAGATGCCTCTGGTTGCAATGTAGGGGCATTGGATTTGACAGGGGGAAAATGGAGGTAATTTTAAGAGGTGACAGAGGCCAGAACTAAGTTAATAACAGTATGAAGAGAGAAAAAGCTCACTTTGTGTGTTCCTTTCTAGTCTTATCACTGCTTAGCACTTTGCATGCAACATACTGGCAGGCAGGTAGAAATACTGATTTTACCTGACAGAGATTCTACCCACCTTCCATTTCTATTCCATTTGTAAAAGGCAATTAAATACTTTGTTTGACAAGTCTGAATCCTTCAGCTAAATACAAAACACTTACTGGTAACAAATTTTTTACCTTATATTTTATATTGTTTCTAGCAATACATATTTTTAAAACACATGCATTTTTTTTTATCATACCCAAAAGTCCATTTCTTTACTTTCATGAGTAAGTAGAAGCTAAATTAAATAATTGCTCATTTTTTTTTCAGTATGGTTTTATCACATTCAGGGAAATAAAAAGGAAACAGTGAAGTCAAAAAAATAATACCCTTAAGAATCCTTCGAATGACAATTGTGAAGCACTACAGAACCACAGTCATCATAAAATACAGTAAATATTTTCTATGTATTTTAATTTAAAAGCTATAAATGAATTTAAATATTTTGGGAAAAATTATCACCTTTCATGCTCTACATGTTCTATTTTACCTTTCAAAACACTTTAGCCTTTCTGTCTTCCCACCATTTTCACTCCTGCAAACTGAATTCACACATTCAGTAGGTTTTATCTGGACATAGGCAAGAACCTTTTTGCTTATCTCCTGATCCCACTTTCAGTTTTTAAAAATGATAATAGACTGATCAGTGGGATGTCTAGTCAACTAAAAAATCATACTCCACACAGAAACTAAACAAATTAAAATAAGTGTAGGAAAGAGTTTCTACAGAGATAGAATTGACCAAATACATATAAGATGGGGAAAAAAATTAGATAAATAGTTCAGAAATAAAGGTGGTACAACAGTGCTATTTTATAATGAGAAAAATTTGTGTGTGTAAAGACGCTAGTATAAATCTTTCAACTGTGTTTTCTGAAGAAGTATTTCTTAATCTGAGACTTAATCTGAGACTTAATCTATTGCTTCCTACTTTGCTCATGAACTATCCTGTTAATATATGTGAGTCAATGTTATAATTTCATGTGTTTTGAGTGTTTTTATGCTATTACTCAGTAAAATAAGAAGCAGTCAGCCTTATATTGATTTCCAAATTAATTTTGAAAATTTTATTAGTCTGAGTAATCTAGAAGTCTGATTTAGGGGGACTTGAATCTGGGAATCAAAAAATGTTAAATACTGGAAGTGGAACAGGTTGGGAGAGCATGATTGGTTTAAAAGCAGGGAATCCGAGGTGTAGGTATGATATATGCCCAAGTGGAGATGTCCAGTTGATTTGAAATGCTAGCCATGTAAGTGAAGATGTTCAGCAGACAGCTAGATCATGGAAAAGAATACCCTCTGGAGAGATAGATTAAGGAGTTATGCAGGAGGAGGTACAATCGGGAGCCTTGAGAGTGCTATGAAAATAAGCATAGAATGAGAAAATAAAAATCAGGATGATAAGTTTTGGGACAGAACAAGCAAAAGGAGCCAAAGCAGGAGTGCATTTCGGGCAGTTGTCTTGACCTGCTCCCTCTGTGTCTTTCTCGGGCCAAGGAGACTCTTCAGAGTGCAGGTGCTGCAGATCTTGTAGCCAGAGCCACTATTGATGCGTCTCCTTTGGCTTCCCAGGTTTCTGCCTATTAAGATTCCATTCCTTCTTCCCTCATCCTCCTAGCCTAGTCTCTTTTTAATTTATGACTGATTTAGACAGCTTTCTTAATTTTAGATTTGTCATCTCCCCCAAAGACTGTTTCCTAAATGACACCGCTGTGTCCATGCGAAACCTGTAGGCTGGTTACATGCATTCTTAGAGCCCTACATATCTGGGACACCACACACTGGCCCAGATCCCAACGTCTCAAGCCTCACTACTCAGAGATGCCAATGAGAGTAGGTAGATGAACTGAACATAAAAAAAATATGATAAAATCAGTACCAAGCCCAGACCCTATCCAGTGTGTAAGTAGTCTTGCACAAATTATAGAAACGGTAGGAGGATGACCAGAATAGACTAAGTGATAATGACAAAGGGAAGAAAAATAGTCAAGGAAGCATTAAAGACAAAGTGAATTTTCTTAGCATGTGAAAACAAACAAAAGAAACCAAAAGAAGAGAGACAGGAAGCCTACTGAAAGAAAGAATAAGAATTTTATTAACAAAAGCAAACTTTTCCAGAAATACCTTATGTAAATGAGGTCACTGTAGCTATGTTAAATTATAGAGTGAGAGTCGAAGAAGTATTTTGTCAAAAAGTAAGACAACTAAGCTCTAGTGTTAGTAGTTACGGCTTTTTTCCCCAAGACCACATAGTTATTGTACCAGAGTATGTTTAAATTTATATTTGATCATTTTTATATTCTACATTTGTATCATAAAACTAGATAATGAAAAAATAATTACAATTGAAATTTATAAAATATTTGTTTTCTCTTCAATTAGGTACATACAATTTGGTGGGTAGTGGATAAGAACACATTTTGTCCAAATGGATAAACATAGTTTTCTGGACTGTGTAAGATTATTAGGAATATAGATGATTTTCTATTTCCTATTAAATTACGTACCATTTAGATTTGATAAATGTATTATCTGTGTCTTTAAACCACTGATAAATATTCTGAACACAGCAGAACTGCTAACTTCACGGCATTCCACTGGTAGAAATGCACAAGGAGTTTTCAATCAACTAAACACTTCTGCTACCCCATCCATACTTAAAACATTTTATCCAAGCAAATATGCATGTGACCTATTTAATATATAGTTATTAAATATCTTATAGAAATGTTCATATAAATGAGTAGCAAAAGTAAATAAAGAAGTACTTATCCGTTGGAAAAAAAATTAACTAAAATTGATTGCAAATGCCTACCTGTATATATTTGTGAATGAACCAAGAAGCTTGCTTTCCATCATTTACCGATTCCACTGTCGTGTTAGCCAAACCAACAATATCACCACCTGCAAACACCCATGGTTCACTGGTTTGCATAGTTTCTGGATTTACTTCCGGGAGACCCCATCTGTTAAATTTTATAGGACTCAAGGCTTCTTTTACTGGAAAAAAAAAAAAAAAAGAGTGAAAAACAACAGGCAATGATTAATCCGTGCATCAGATAACAATAATTTGAAAATTAAGAAAACTTATGATTTCATTATTGTTCTAGGGATTCAATTTGTTTTAATGAACCATAAAAATATAAAGTGAGTGAAATATCTGTGTTAACAACACATTCTAAGTATTGACTTAACCAACTCAAAATACACTTCACATGTATTAAAGACCATATATTTGGGCAATGTTTCAGATCTGGTATTTATGTGTAGGAAGTATGAATCCAAGAAGAAGAAAAGCACATCCCTTTAAATATTTTAATGAATATAAAATATGTATTTTTTAAAATTTATTTGTTCATAACCATTATTTTCACAACTTTGTTATTACTCACATGATCTCAAACTTGTTCCTGTGTGTCACAGATTAAGTTATGTTGTGAATTTGGGTCAATGGCCAATCTCTTCCTTTCACAACAGGAAGTTTTATAAACAAAACATTTAAACTAAATTATTTTCACTTAATGTTAGCAATAAGGGATCCAGGAAAAGTCACATTTAGTCATCAATTTCTATTTTTGTTTTTGTTTTTTTTGTGTAAAAGTCAACAAATACAAACAATACCATTAATTCTGTAAAACAGTTTTAAATATGCTTAAATAGATGCTAAGTATGCTCTGTTCCAATGAATTTAAGCATGTCATGCAACGAGGAAGAGGTTGAGTTCCTTTAAGAAAAATGTCTAAAAGAAATTTTGACTGGACACTTGATCCTGATATTTAGAATAGATAAAAGAATACAAATTAGAGACAGGATTGAC